TTAATGTTATCAAAAACTTAGAAATTTGCAAAAAAATATTTCAGAAAGACGGCAACAATGTTTTTCAAGGTAATCTGCCTAATTTACATTACGTAAATACCTGTTGCTTCGTAATTATTAAAATATCCGGTAACCATGGAAAAATACAAAGTGACAAGAAAATAGAAAAGGATAAACGGTAAATTCAACAGGATTCGTTAAATGTGTGTACTTGTTCAAAATGTCAATATTGTCAACGAGAAAATGTTTTTTATTGTCCTCATAACGTCGAATTGATATGTATACAAATAAACATGTATTTCAGTCTTTGTGTCTTCAAACAAGTTAGTGCCTGTGTAAACACCTTATTGTGCACTCTTCTCGAACAGCTTCTCGTATTCGTTTAATTAACTCCTGCTCAATTTGTACCGGTGTTTAGTAAGCCATTGGTTTAATGTGTCCTTGTGCTCTGTTTATCTTCCATACGTGGTAGGAATGTAGCCCTTCCTCGGTATTGATTTGGTGCCTGGGAAAGTGTCAGTTGTTGGACAATGCTCTGAGTACCCCTGAAAGGCTCTGCAGCAATTAAGAGGGTCGCTTGATAAGTCAGTGACATTTTGAATTTCCTGCTCAGTAACTTCAAATTCAATTTTACCCTCGTCTGTAAAATTTTGAGCATGCTACGTCATTATTTCGTGTTTATCATTGAAAGATGATTTCGGCAATTTCGACGAAAATGGAAAAGTGAATTTCGACTGCTGATTAAGCATTATTTTTTACGTAAAAAATTTAGCGCCTTGCGACTATTTTCTGTTTCCAAACCTGAAGAAATAGCTCCACTGGCAATTGTAGTGTCTTGCATTAAATTATTATTATTAGTATGTTTTGATTTTTATAATAAACACATTAAATGAGTTGCCGTCTTAAATAAAATAAAGCTATTACCAATTTTAAGGTACAGTTTAAGGTAAGGCGATTTTTTCCGTTTTTGGTAAATCAGGCTTTGTAAAATACGTCAAATATATGTACGATGGATTTCACAAACTTGTTTTAATTTGACAATATTTAATTAATTTCTTTACATTTTATGAATCGTGCTCTTCGATTTTCCAGATCTCTCAGCTACTGTTTTTGTTGAAAATCCTTCCTCAATTAATGTAATTATTCGAGTTTTTTCAAATACCTTTGAATGTATTATTTTGATAATAGGAAAATTTATTTGTCCGTATTGTCATTTACGCAAAGGAAGATCGAGGTAGAAAGTCAGATTTACACAACTATTTAATCGTCTACCTTTATGTGTCGCCGACTGCACCTTGATGGCAAAATAAATATAGAAGCATTTTGTTATTATAGAAACATTACGTTATTCCTTATGGATTCCCATGGCTAACTTCGACCTAAAAGATTGAAAAAGCAAAAAATCATTCGCAGACCCTCATTTTCGAAAAAAAAAATATTGTTGCCATTTAAAAAACACAAGATTATGTCATATGTCAAAAGTTACAGCTAATTTGTACAAATGTCTTATGTCGTTTTGTGTGGAACGCAATTTTCTACAACTTTTATATTTAAAGATTTCCTGTCAGATGAATATTGAAGGGACTAGGAGTTATTTAAAAATCTGTCAAAAATTAGTCTGTTTCGAATATCTCTTGACAGCTGTCAAATTTCGAAACATACTAAACGCACGGTAATCCAAATGCACAGTTCTGTCATTCATTCATTGTAAATCACCCTGTATAGTACACAATATAATTAGAATGCTGCACTGTAATCCCACACTATTTAGGAAAACAAATTTATGTTATGAAAGAAACAAACTATTAAAAAATATAAAATGTTTATTGAGAACGTCATGGACTATTATAAAATAAATATTTCTAAATCTATCTATATACATTGCTGCTACTCCTAGTATTTTCGTGTTAATAACGCATGCACTTAAAAAACATGTGAAAATGTCCGATCCCTGTATTTAAATAAATGCAAAATATAGAACAGTAGCCGCAGTAAAT